ACACGAGACTTACCAGAGACGTAATCAATTAAGTGGACAGAACATCCCATAATTTAGGCCACTTTAAAATTCGCAGAACGCAATATGCGCATGCGCGGACAAAAATCAATATTTTGCCGTGCCAGTGAGCCTGTGGGGCTTTAAATACGCATGTGCGTGACACTCATTTGCATACGCGTAACCTACTTTCGGAAATCGTAAAATACAATCTAAAAACATCAATGTCTCAAAAAGTATTGATTTTGATTTGCGATGGAAATGAAATTGATATTCGTGTTCAGCGTATCAATATTAAGTAGAAAATGTATGACGGGTAGCTAAGTGTGAGACAGGAGTGAAAGTAAAAAAATACTAGATAGATCTATATAGATTTAGAAGATTCTAGACTAGATTGTAGTATGCCATAGATGTACAGTAGATCCAGATCTATACCTCGTTTATTTTCGACTGTCCAAGGTTAAAACGGGAAGAAAAGAAATCCCTTGTCATTTAAAATCTAGATTTTCTATTTTACCTTCACACATTGTAATTTAATTATTTATGCACACTATGAGACAAGAGTACCTGGCCCTACCCGTGACCACTTGTCGTATTTTGCTTCTCAGCGGTCTCTGTCAGCAAAATAGGTCAGGCAATCCATGTTCAGGGCCGCTTCAGTGTGTCAACTTCCAGTTTATACTGTGATATCGTCAATCATTCCAAAACGTTATTCGCAGATTTCGTATTTTAACATGTTAATGCTCCTCCCTTGGCGCGACCGCATGCCCTCAGCGCGACCGCATATGGAACAGGGCGCGACCATGCGCGCACAGATATGACAGGTGCAAGAAAGTTGTTAGTACACCATTTAAAGGTTAGTAAAATCATTTCTTTATCAAAGTATGATGAAAACAATTATCTTATATAACAGAGGGTACGTACAGAGATAAGTGGTCGCGGGTTGAGCCAGCTACTCTAGTTTAGTAACTGAAGAAAACTTCTCTAAGCCTTTCACTTCGAACTCGACTGCTGCACTAGCAGACGACTGACGTTCTCGGAAAACGATTGACCAAAAGTGGAACTAGACAAGGCACATCACTCTAATAAAACAGATTGCACACGAGCTGCACAGAAGGAAAAATGGGGAACTGGTCGCGCTCAGGGCACGATCGCGCCAAGGGCGGATGTTTCTATATATGAATCATGCAGTCCAACCAACGGATGAGTAGATCGAGCCTACTCTTCAAGTTCAAGACTTTCGAACACTGAGGGCGTGGTCTTGCCCTTGCTGTCTCAAACTGAGCAAATTTTAGACCAGAGTGTCTAGAGGTTGCTGTAAATATAATTTATTTTAGTGATCCTATAGTACAATACACTCAAAGAGTGGTGGTTGTGCATACAGTTCAGTAGTAGTAGTCTCTGGTAAGATCCCACCTTTTATGATCCCAATTCGCTTAGTTTAAGATCCTGTTGTTTTAAGAAAACATAATTTTTTCCAAACAAAAGTCTAAGAAGATCCCTCTCTTAAAACATTTCGGTAAGACTCCACATTTCAGAGACGCGTATAATTATGGAACAAAAACCTGGGCTGGCAAAGTTGATCAACCATCAATCAAGCAGTAAAAATTTGTGATCATTGTACTACTGCCTGTTGCGTCACAGTCACAAGCGGATTGCTAGAGAATGACGACTAGATGTAAACGCCATTGGCCGATATTTATAGTAACAGCCATCTTGTTTGTCCTCGCAAGGGGTATGCCTGACGCGTCATCTGATCATGATTCTAGTGATGATTTTGCGTAGGGCGTGGTTTGCACTGGTAGTTTCCAAGTTCCTTCAGCCGTTTGCACCTTGTGTCCTAACACCAGCAGTTTCCAAGCTCCTTCAGCATATATTACAAAATGCAGCAACAACTGAGAGGTCAGTATTATGTACAGTGGAGTCCATATCATTGGCACTGTGTCGTTGAACTTTGTTTGAACTTGCTTTGGTATCCAAATTGACATAGAGACCTACTCTTGGTCTTGTTCTTCTTCTCAGTTTACGTAGTGTACAGCATCAGAATCAATCTGGGCGGAAGAAGGGTGCTGCACGATCACACACAAACGAACTGAACAGTTCTGCAAGTTTCAAAGAAAATTTAATCCGAGTTGGCAGGCTGCCGTCGTGCGGTCTTGTTGTCACCATGACTGACACCTAAGTCTGCATCAGACAGGATCACACCGAATTGTGAACGCTTTGCTGCTTGTGATCGCTTAAGATCACGCATTTTTCTTGCTCCATCGGGATCTTAGACGGAGACTACTGTATTTGGTTGCTGGGATAGGAATGCCATACAAAGTTACATGTTCGGAAAAAATATAAATGAGCTTGGATTTTTTTTTAACGGGAGCATACGAAAGTGATCAAACTATAGGACTGTGTTTTCTTTGTATTGAGAAATGTAGGGTAGGGTGCCCTGATTTCGACCAATGCCTAACTTCAACCATTTGTACACCCCAACAGTAAAAAGCTATTATTTTTCAGAAAATTTGTCTTGCTTTCTTTGAAAATCCTGGCAAGTCATGTCGGGGAGATATTATATTTGATCTCCAGCGTGGGAGGCAGACTTTGCCAAGCGTATTTTTGTGCGAGTAATGTATGTCAAATCGCCGTGCTTTCGCTTTCGCTTTTCGGAGTTGTGCGTTTTAGAGCCAACCTCATAATTTTACTGTTTTCTCTGTACTTGAGAAAAATGCCGAAAAAGTAAATTTACTTTAATGAAAGGGTGTTTTTATAATTTATTGATTTTCCAGCTTAGTATTATGATTTGTCTCAGTTTACATGAATCCTTGCTTTTATAGTCAGTGAGACTGGAAAAACAAAGTGGTTGAAATTTAGGTACGTCTTTTTTGTTTATTCCTAACTTCAACTTCATGACATCCCAAGCTCGTTGAAATGGTTGTGGGACCCAGCGTGGTGATAAGGATAATAATAAGGCGACTGCTTTTGCTATTGTTTTTGCTGCTGCTGCTGATAATGATGATAACATTTTGGTCGTGGTGCTATGACTAGGATGATTTTTGATGATGGTAGTGGTAGTGGTGGTGGTGGTGAGGAAGATGTTGATGATGAAGCTGATTGTAATGATGATGAGGAGGAGGAGGATGAGGAGGAGCATGAGAGGGATGGGGGAGAGGAAATTCAGTTAAGAATTTTAAATATGTTTAGCCTAACAAAGAGGGGGGGGGGTGTAGTGATGTGAAGGGGCTGCTGCTGCTTTGTTGATTTTATGCCATTGAAAGGCTGGGCTAGTGATGAGGCTTTTGTATCAATGAGCATAAATAAGAAAAGAGAGGTGATTGGCAAAAATTAGGTAAATATCAAAGGTTTGGATCATAGTGGTCAATGTTCGGATGAAGGTTGAAGTTAGGCTTTGACGTCGGTCGAAGTTAAGGAACTGTCTGTCAAAGTTAAGGAAACCTCCCCCTGTCTCATTCAAGTTCATACAGTAAAATATGATTCCTATAAAAGCAATATTATTTTTGCTCTAGACCAATCAGGAGATGTATCTCATTAATGATTGATGTAGTTATTCTAAAGGCATAGAGCCCAATTGGTTGCCGAGTTCTACAGCAAAACAGCAGCCAACGAACTCCATCGGTCGAAGTTACGGCACCCTACCCTAGTGAGTGAAAGAAATTTGGCTTCTTGACAGAATGATTATACAGGCGAAACTACTTTTGGTAAAAGGGGAGAGCGAGAGACTCTACCCAGCACTCTATCTTTGATAAAGATTATGATAATAAAAAGTTCACAGTCACAATTAGAATTTTATTCAGCCATTTGATATTACTTAATCAGCCTTGCTCTTTTGGTTAGAATCTTTTAAATTAAAGCTTGAGTTAACCCTTTGAGCCCTGATCCCCTAGGCATATCATGTGGGACCTTTGTGGTTGGGCTCATTTGGGTCATCTGCCACCAAGCACATGCTGAGGAGTGCATGTGGTGAGCAGGAGAAAGGGTAAAGGGCTAGCCAGGTATGTGTGCTTGGGTCCATAGAGGGTTATTATATTTTTGCGGGGACACTTTTTTAAAAATTAACAAAGTGTATTTGATATAAAAGAGAAAGTTCTTGTTTCATGGTCATTGTCTATCTTTGGGGTAAAAACTGAATAAAAAATTTTCTTAAAATTCATTTCCCCACAAGGTAAAGGTAATCACAATGGCAGTTTCGTTCGAAATGAGAAACACCCCTCCTCTCCCCGCCCACCCCTCCCAAAAGACACACCAATCTATGAAAGATAGAAGGAGGGAGAGTGTTTGATTAGAGTTGAAAATGGAAAATGAAAAGTGAGTTGAGACTGTCACGTAATGCACAAGTCTGAAAATGAAGGAGTTTTGACATCAGAGTCTACTTTGAAATTGAAAGTGGACAAGCTGGAGACAGATAGTGGAAATTAAGAGACTTGGGCATTAAAAAAAAAGGACGAGTTTGTTGCCCAAATCATTGTGTGTGAGATAATGAATAATGGACAGCAGGGTCACTCTGGTCAGCCTTGATCTAATGGCTATCATAGATATATTTATAGCCACCATGATCAGTGTGTGGGAGTGCTTTGACAAATTTTGATACAGATCCGCTTTTGATTTTTAAAGTTACCGTCTTTATTGTAGTTGTAGTAGTACTGAAGATGCTTTCAGTGCAAGAAGCTAAGAATGGTATGCCGCTCAAGGCTAGCTTGTGTGCTGTAGAACGTAAGTTATAGTTTGTGTAATTTTAGTACTATTGGTGGAAAATTTCAGTAAAATTTATAGAGAAAAATTTGAGTAGCCTGCTGATAATGAATGATGATGCAATAATGAATGAATCACCAAGCAGAATTGGATAGCTCCCCTTGAACAAAAGATAAAGAAGGGAAAAAACAAGTAGTGAACTGTATCATCTGCTTTCATTTCCTCACTTTTTTTTCTTTTTTTCTGTGCCAGAACTATGTGCCAAATATGGTGTAAAAATATTTTTACACTTTTTTTTTTAACAGAAATGTCCGATGCAGAATGTGGGGCCATCTGTGTGCGGAAAGATGTGATGGACAAATTCAATGTGATTATGGAGGAAACCAAGTTGGATGCTAATGAATTGATGGAACATTTTTTTAGTCTTTATAACTGGTAATGACCAATAACTTTTATTTCATGTGTTTCTATTTTTTGGTTAATTTGGACACTGCAATCTCATTTTTTTCCCTCTTAGCCCTGGCTTGATAAACTGAGCAGACATGTACAAATATAATGAATTATAATGAAAGAGAATAGGGTTGTTGCTGGCTGTACTGTATGCTAGCATGCTGTTTTAAAAAAAATCTAAATTTTTGTGTATTTGACATTTTAAAATTGTGATGCTACATGTCTTGGATGTTGAGGTTTATCCCTAGATATCACTAGTAATAGCTTGCACTGAGCAGTTGATCAGAGATGGGATTTTCATAATAGTTTGGTGCAGTCTAAATCCATTTTAGATGTGTCGGTATACTTTCATCTTATAATTCAGTGGAGCTTAGGATGACCGGCAATACCATAGAGGTTGGATAGGGATGTTTTATTCACAAACCGCTACATGCAGAAAGGCAAGTTTTATAGGAGAGGCCAAAAAAAAAAAAAAAAAAGATTGGTGTTAAAACAGGAAGCATATTGTCACATACTGATGCAAGAAAGATTACGTTCTAAGTGTTGTAACCAATTATTACTTGATTTATCATAAATACACTAAATGTTAGTTTTACATGCATGTAGCCGGTTATAGAATGACAAGAAATGTGCAGCAAAGTACAGTTGGTTTGTTCTACATTTAACTGCTTTGCTTATGACACTACCGCGCACAGCCTTGACATGAGGCGTCTTATAGCCGGTTAGGCGCAGCTGCGTGCCATTATTCGCTATGAGCATAGTTCTACGTGGCTGATGGCAAGCTATGGTATTTAAACTTGATATTTTTTTTAAATCTCTGAGCTGACCGAATAGTTAGAATTGGGTTCGATCTTAACCTGGTCTATTCCTGTAAAAAGCTTTAAGATGACAAGTTCATTGCTTTGGTTTGACCTTTGTTAGTAAATTGAGCCTAATAGAGCTTGCTGTTGAATGGGGACTTGCGCTATACAAATGCTATCTATTATTATTAATATTAATAGTTTTTTGTAAGCCTGGTTACCGGAAGCATGGGTTTGAATGTTTGTTGTCTTTTCATAATGGGAACTTTAAAATTGACACTCTAGCAGCTGTCTTGCCCTAATATTTGACATTATGTGACCAGTGCTTGGAGACATGGAAGTGGTTTCAGTAGTTGAAAATGTGAAATGGTATAGGTTTTTCTGCCCCTGGCAACACTATAGGTTATTCAAGAGGTTGGGGCCTATACCGTATAATTATGCTGTGACAGTGTGGGAATTTAGCTGTACTATGCAAAATATCCCAGTGTGTCAGGTCATCAATTTTTTTACTAGAACTGTTGATCATGACCTCTATGCATTTTCAAAAATTCAAACAAAATCTAGCAATGTCACAAAAATTCATTCCTTATGCACACAGGACACCAAATATGTCTGTCGGCTCCTTTCAATCGTATGCCCAACACTTGTCCGTTATTGCTTTATATAGCTGTAGGAATCTTCTGGCAACAGTATAAATGGACATTTTAAAAAATCATTGTCATTTTTAAAACGATCATTGATCATTTCTGAAAGTGAAATGTGCAAGACACTGGGGTGAAGTGCAATTGAGGATGATGGCCCTGGCTCCTTGCCAGGTGAATCGTGGGTATTCTGCTGGAATGCAGTCGGCATTGTCCACAGCTTTCTTCAATGTCTTTTTGACAATGTTCCATGTCTTTGCTAGACTCGGCTTCACCAGGCATTTTCCTCCAGATGAGGGATCCATCATGTATCCTCAAACTTTGGCCAGAAAATCAAGAAAGTCGAATTTGAAAAGAACTAGCACCAGCATTGACTGAAAAAAAAAATTATCATTAACATGGCAGAACTGTGTAACAAACTTGACAAAGATTTCGGAAGCGTTTTACTTCCATTCGGTGAATTGATTTCAGGCTTTTCTTTACCAGTTGTAAATCATAGATGATGCTAGCGGAGGTTGTTTCCTAGCACCACCCTTTCTATAAAAATAAGTGTATTTATAAAGCACATTATATCCAAGCTCTATAGCATGCTCTCTATGTACTTTCACAATTAGTAGACCTTAGAACACTCAGAAATATTCTTGGCTTCCCAGGAAGCCTACAGTACAAGCTGTGGATTTCACGAGTTTCGACACGTGTCAAGACGGCTTGCTGTTACCGAAGCACTTATGTACAGGGCTGATTTCGTCATGACCCTTTTTACTCTTTAGGAACTTCTCAATTAAAACATATGTGTCACGACGTGGTGAAATCAGGCGCTCGTCAATTTTTGGGCACATGGGGTTATTGGTATCATCATAAAGCTTGTTCATTTGTCTTGCTTTCATTGAAAAAAATTACATATCTATCTTGAATGAGGGTGGAGATATTTGCAATTGAAGGAGATGGTGTTTGTTTGGTTTCACCAAATTTTGTAAGCCATTTTCTTGTTAATTTTACTTATTAGCAAGAAAATGGCTTACAAAATTTGGTGACTACCAAAGCTTGGGAGTCCTTGGAAAATGCAAATTTTCATCTTTTGTGCCTTTGATCAATGTTTTTCAGTAAAATCCATATGAATGTATTTTTTAATGGACATTAATTAAGATGTTGAGCCAAAAAAAATATTTAAAAAAAAAATTGCCCAAAGTCCATAAAAATGCAGATTTCTTTGATTTTTTAAATTTTGATGAGCGCCTGATTTTACCATGATGCCTCGCATATTTCTGGATTTGTTTCAAACCTCATATTTATTGGGGACTGGTATTATGGGTTTTTTAAACTTTTCATTAAGCAAATAAAACAAAAATTGAAATTTTGTGTGTAGCTGGTTTATGAATAACACTGATGATATACATATTTTTTAATAGAAAAGAAAACGCATTGTGGGTACAACAATGAAAGTCATGCAGTGTACTAGCATATTTCATATTTCATTCCATCTGTAGTTTGACGTGTATTTCATGATCCTTAATTCCCTGATACAGATGTATGTTAGTTTTACTTTGCATGTAGCCGATTATAGAATGACAAGAAGTGTGCTGCAAATTACAAATGGTTTGTTCTGCATTTAACTGCTTTGTCTATGACACTTCGGCGCACAGCCTTGAAATGAGGCGTCTTATAGCCGGTTAGGCGCAGAAGTCCTTTCAGTTATTTATACCGTCTTTTTTCTTTGCCAGAAGGTACTCGATTGCTCTTTCTTAGTGTTAATCGATGTAATGAGTTTGTGCTTTTTAACTGAGAGGAGAGAGTGAGTGAGGGAGAGACAGAGCGTGTGTGTATGAGTGTGTGTGTGTGTGTGTGTGTGTTTGTGGAGGGGGGAGGGGGGTATGTGTAGGGGAGGAAGAGGAATACAGAGAGAGAGCCAGCAGAACAGGGTTACCAATAGTTGTCCATGTAAATATTCTAGTTCAATTTTGGATTTGTTGTGAAACATTGTAAAACACTTCAAGGTCATTTATGGATGAACTTTTATTTGTATTAATTTCATCCTATATTTGAGCCGTCGCCAGAACCTGACACTCCTAAAAGTGTCACAGTGGTCAAAAATTAAAAACTACTTCATTTCATAATTATGTACAATTACAGCAGCAAAATGAATATTTTTTCTTTAAAATGTGGATGTTTGATGGTCAGTTTGAAATTCGGATATGTGCATATATAAATATGATGACCGGAAATCTGTACTAATGATGATGATATTTGAACTATACCATCTGTTTAAAGTTAGTATCTCTACTACTGTTTATGCCAGTATCAAGTCTTTAAAAACGAAAAAATAATTCCCATCCAATTGTGTGATGTTTTATATAACAGTTTTGAGCCTGACCCAAATAGTTATCTTTTTCAACTTTTCTTTTGAAGCACCACTGATTCGATTTGTTTTTGTTTTAGTAAATGGTTTTGATTGTTTTAGTTTTAGTAAGGTTTTACAGCACTCGCAACTGCATTATAAGGTTCATATGAGTGCCAAGGGGTGGATATCAACAGAGAAGTCTAAATCACATGGGGAATCAGGCTTACTCTGCTCACCTCTCTAGCCTCAACAGCACAAAGTCTGCTTCGACTTTCAAGGCACCCCGCAAAATAGCAGATCACAAGAGAGTGACAAACATACAAAAGAAGTAGAGGACCAAATGAAGACAGTAAGGATGAGGAAAGGAAAAGCAGCAGTTCCTCCTATGTTGTTATGGCACAGTATGAGCATGACATTGAGAAATCTTATGAAGTCTAGACAAGCTTTGAGCAACAAAAGTCAATTACTACAGCTGAAATCGCACAAAAGGTTTCCTCCTGAAGAATATTTGTTCGATGGGGTCATTTCCAGAAACATGCTTTATGTCCGTGAATGAAACTTTGACATCATCATGTTATGAGCGTCAGATAGTCAATTAAATTAAAGTGTACTTCATAAAAATTCTGTATGATGACAACAGTAATGAGCCTCTGACACATTTGAAGATTGCAGTTGAGGAACATTGTGAAGCCTGATGAAGTGTATGCCCGAAATACGATGGGTTTTACACTCAACGGGACTCTCATGGTCTAGACGATAAGGTTTTCACCTCTCATTCAGTAGGTCCTGCGTTCAAAACCTGACAGTGACAGAAAGTTTTCTTCTAAAATTTTCTCCTTTCTCCTTTCCTGCTCTCTAGCCTTGTTCTGTCGTCTGTTTTCGTTTCCACTCACTGCCCCTTCCTCTGGGCTCCTGACTCTTACTGCTGCCTTTCTGTTGCTACTCCTTTGCTGTTCTTACTGCTGTGTTTTAGCCACACCCTTGATCTCATGGTAAGGTAAGGTCTAGCACTAGCCTTCTCGGATAAGGGCGAAAAATCTTGGAGGTCTCATGTGCAAGTTGTACTTGTTAAAGATCCTTTGGTGGTCCTAAAATCGATAAAGAGTAGGCTTTTTGCGCCACCCGGGCAAAATTCAAAATTTTTACCAAACTGAAAAATGTTTAATGCGCCCCGCACGCTCATATGACTTTATTTAGTTGCGAGCGCTGTAAAAGACTTACAAAAAAAAAACAAACTTCCACTCAGTACTAGTAAAGTTTTAATTAAAGACACCATATATGGTAATGCGTGTTTGGAAGTAATTGCATTGCTGTTTTCAGGCGACATACTGAAATGTGCAAAAATAGCAGCAAAATGGCTACATTTCGTCATTTCAAAGATATAAATCATACATGAAATAATCAACACAAGCAAAATATTTTTATTTTTATTTTATATATTTATATATATTTATATAGATTATATTTATATTTTTATCAACCAAATAGATTTAGATATATAAATATGTTTTCTACATGGAGGACAAAACAATACTGCGTCTCACACAATAAAATGCTCAGATTCTGGCAAAGGTTCATAATTATAATATACATATAATACACATGGAAAATTGTTTCTAAAACCATGAACACGGGAAGAGTGAGTGATAGAGAGAGAGAGGGAGACAGAGAAAAGCGTGATTTTGTACGATCAGAGTAGAAAATAAAACTTTGGCTCGGCTATGTTATTCTGATATTCTGATGCTATAAATTCCTCATACAGATTTTGACCTTGAATATGATGACATCATGCCCCTAGATTGGTTTAAGGCTATTCATCTCAACACTTTTACCTATTCCATTATACATAGAGCACTTGTGTGCTCCGAGCTCAGCAGTTGATCTAATTTTGTGTGAAGCTGTCAAGCAGGCAGTAGTACGTCATTTGAGGTATGCTTTTGCGCTCTTGGCGTGTAAGTGCACATCAAACTATAGTCATTCAAGTAGTATTTTTGCATGCTATTTTATATATATATTTCCTCCACTTGTATGCTCACAGGTTGCTGTTTCTTTCAGTTGTGTGAAACTTGTCCACCCTATAAAACCAGGCATGGCACAGAACGGAGGAGCTCTGAATGCATCTCAAATGACTCAGCAGCAGATGCTGCAGCACTTTCAATCACAACAGCAGGCGTGAGTTCAGAGGACTAAAAATATATTTATTATATTTTTTTTTGGTGACCAGCTGCATCTTTGCATGCCTGTTACATTAGTCTCAAAGTGGCCAATTCCTGATGTTGTCTAAAGAGGAGACCCCCCCCCCCCCCCCTCCTAAATATCTGATACTATGTCTTCACTTGAATTGTTTAATAGAGATTGAGAGGTATTTTGATGCTTTTCTTTTCTGTCTTGGTTTAAGCGACATTTACCCCCCCATCCCCTGAATTAAAAGCTGAAAAACGTAATATTTAGAATGGGGCCACTTTGCTTCTGACATCATCGATATATCAGGCGCAATAAAAAGTGACTTGTTAACACATTGGACGAAAGAAAGCCAAATATAGTGAAGATCTGACATTGTAGAAATAATTATTTTGAGAAACTTATCATTTTCAAAGAATAATAAATAGGAATTTTGGTTTGTGCTTTAATCATTCAGCGCGATCAATAAGAATTCTCACAAGAAAGGCCCTCGTCCTACGTATAATTGACAAGTATTCTTTCATTGTACCTCTTTGTCTTTAGACCTAGATAGAGTCTTTGAACAGCAAGCGGCATGTGAATGGTTTTATGAATTATGTATGACTTTTTGTTGTCTTATGTCACTACGAGATTGTTTAAGTATGCAACTCCCAAGAAATGATAAGAGGGTGAAGTGGCGGATATCATACTTGATTCAGACTTTGGGAGGATATCATATGCTCCTAAAGTGAAGATGGTGGAGATTGCGGCAGTGAGGCAAACAACCAGGACTACACATTTTCATCCTTTGTCGCAGCTGTTGTTGGCGTTCAAGTTGACGTGATCAAGGTTGTCACTGTGTTGGATTACATTGTTAGACAGTTCATAGCAATTAGTTAAAAAGAATGCATTTTTTAGGGACTGGTTAAATAGCTTTTGTTGTATAGTTATATTCCTGAGTGGACCCAATCACTTGTATTAAAACTGACTTGTATGGGAGGGGAGTTCATAACTAGGGCTCAGCACTGAATGGATTAATGCACAGGATGGCATACTAGCAAAGACTCGCCCACATAAACACACTTATTTATTTGCTATGCTTGGGCCTGCATGCACACTCAACTTGCAGTTTTAGTGCACCCATTTTGTTTACTTATGATTGGGAAAGAACGAGGCAACAGTTAGCTAAGGCTTGACAACATTATGAAGTGCTGTGAATTGTCTTATTTACGGGTTCACAGTGGTGTGAAAACAGAAAATGAAGACTTTATTCCTGTTGGTATGACTTACAATGCCAACAGTGCCAACACGAGCAGCAACATGGGAGATGGAAGTGAAGGCAGCAAGAACTCATCTATGAGTGAGAGCGATGAAGTTACATGCCTTGGAGTGACACAGATTGGAGGTGACTGCAGTGTGGAAGAAAAGGTAAGTTGTAGTTTGCTATTTTGTCATGTTGTGACTTGGTGATGATTATGTTTATGATGGCGATTATTATTGTTGTTACTAATAAAATAAAAAAATAAAAATACTATTATCATTATCACTATATTATTATTATTATTATTATTATTATTATTATTATTATTATTATTATTATCATCACCATTGTCAGTTCTGTGTACTGGACAATAATAAATTAGCCTTGAAGGGTGTGCAAATTGTATTGGAATGTTCCTTTTTAGTGTATTTGTATAATTAACAAAATAGTTTTTTGTTTCTCTCTGCCTGGTGGCTCTTGTGGTCTAGAGGTTACGGTGTTTGCCTCTCATTCAGTAGGTCCTGGGTTTAAATCCTGACAGTGACGGAAAATATTTTTCTCTAAAATTTTCTCTAACTATGCTGTTGTCTGCTTTTGCCTCCACTTTCTGCCCCCCCCCCCCCCCCCCCCCCCTCCCCACCTTTGCCTCGTCCTTTGGACTCCTGACTCTTTCTACTTCTATTCCTTGGCTCCTTCTTACTGTTGTCTTTCAGTCACACCTCTGGTATCTTAGGTAAGATCTAAAACATAGCCTTCTCGGATAAGGGGGAAAAATCTCGAAGGTCCTGTGTGCAAGTTCCGCTTGTTAAAAATTCCTTGGTGGTTCAAATTCGATAAGAGTAGGCTTTGGCCGCCACGCCTTTTCTACTACTAAGTTCATAAAAAATAAAAAAATCACATTTTTGCTGTGGCTCACATATCCCAGCCTGTCTTTTGAGCCCTTTTTGTACTAAAGTCATGTTCTTCCACCTACAAATGCACTGAAGCTCTTCTTGGGATGAGGTATGTCTCTCACGCCAAGGTGTTTTCAGTAAATTTGTTAAAAAGGAATCACGGGCTGATGGATTTCACCTAAAATTGTAACGATCTGTCCATGAACGAAGATGAAATTCATACGCTTGAAGCACAAATATGTCTACCCTACTACTAAAGTCTTCCAAACAGCCATGAGCAGGGTAATCACTGTTTCTTTACCAGCGCCCATGGTGTACTGTTTGGGCTCTTAGCTGTTGTATACTGAAGACTTGAGGTCAGTTCTCACTTGGGGAAGTTTATTTTGTTAAGTGTCTCAATCTTTTCACAGGGATGTTGTACTCCACCCTACCTTAGTTGGCCCCGATATTCTGCCTCTTAAATGATCGTAATTGTTATTCTTTTGAGTCTTTCTTTTGTGTCATCTTTTCTACCTGCATTTACTGTTTCTTCTTAAACAATAATAATAAATAAACTTCGCAGTTTTGTAGACGACATACAAAGTGGCAGTAATATCAGTTGAATTACTTTTACGGTCATGACTGTCCCCAGGTTCAGCTCCTACAAAGGCTTAGAGAGCAGGCAAATTCCAGCAGCTTCAACAGCAGTCAGCCGAGCGGGATTTACCAGCATTACAGTTCATTTTCAGGTATGCACTGCACGTGCCTTTGTTTGATATTACTTCTTTGTGGACCCTGATCCCAGTAGGGTCCCAGAAAACCGGATTTGGGTCTGCTGGAAGGAATTGTTTTGTATAAATTATGATTTACTTCAGGCTTGCCAACTGTCCTGAATTTCCAGTGACTGTTTTGGATTCGGCAATTTCACTGTGATCATAACTATATCGTCAACGCAGTGCTTCCGCTCTTCCATATTTTTAAGGAAATCTGTACTTTCTGCCAGTTCCGTACTTGTTCCTCCCTCATTATCAACTCCCTCCGTAAAAAAACTGCGACAGCGTAGGACTAGATATCTACTGAAATTCCGTAGTAAAAGATTCGTAGTCGCCTTTGTATCGTTTTGTATAAGCTACGGATATTTACGGTAATTCTCTTGACAATAAGTTAATGTTATAGAGACCTGCCAGATTGTGCATTTCCTAGGATGGGCCATTATATTCTGCTATGCCCCATGCGTTCATTGCGGGTTGGTCGGCAGTACATTTTAACCTGCAGACTGATCAAAATGAGGCGAACTTTATGTGCCAATTTCATCCTTTCTATCTTTCACTCATTCCATCTGTCTATCTTAGGACTGTTGCCGCGGGTGGAAAATATTCGCATTGATCAAGTAAATTGACTTGTGATTTTAGGCAGAAAATTACTGTCAGATAGAAACTTATTTGCAGATTTATTGTCTAGATCTAGAGAAATTATCAATGCGAAGATTCTACGGCGCGGGAATGCGATAAGGGCCGTGATGAAATAAATTATAAAAACAGGCTCCCAAATGCCATTTTTAACCCTCTAAAAGCACTAAATTTCAGACCCCGGCAGAATTTTCCTTACTTTTCAGCTTCAGCTGGTGGAAGCACTGTAAACACTACACAAAAAACAGTCCTGCTTGATGTTATTTTGTTTGTTGTCAAGTAATTTCATGTTATAATGTTGGGTGTCCCTGATTTGTATTTGAAAAAAAAATAACCAACTTGTTATTGGTAGGCCTATTCTAAAGTGTTTTTTCTAGTTAATTTTATAGAGTTTTTCAAAATGCGGCTTTGTCTCTACGTTGGAAGCCTTGCACATGATTTGCCTAGCTTGTATTTTGGAGTGTCATAAAAAATTTAGATTGGGGACTAGAAAGTTCTTATTTTTCAAAGTAAATGTTTTTAAATGGAGTCCCTTCAATATAACTAGTTTTTCTGGTTTCTTCCTTTTAATAAATTAACTTCTCAGTTTTGTGGACGACCTACAAAGTGGCAGTCACATTTTTGTTTGTTTCTGTCAATGTGAAGGCTTGGTAGGAATTGGAATCCTATATCCTTTTGATAATGAGCATGATACTCCAACCTCTTGTTTGTACCACACGTACCCATAATAATAGTGTTCTTATATAATAGTTTTTGAAGTAATTTTGAGCTTGATGAAATGCGTATGGCTGTGGGTATTTAGGGAAAGTTTTGTTATTTCTGGCTTTTGTTCCTTTTCTAAGGTTGTTAAATTCTATTTCCTTAAACATCTTTGAGCACAATATATATGTCTCTTCAAGTCGATTTGTTAAAGTATCGTATCACCCCCCACCCCCCCGTGGCAGTGCCACTGACTGTACTGTAGTGTCTTTAGGCCATTCCCAAAGGGGGGATATTTCTCGTTCATGCACAGTAGAATTGTAAATCGGCTGATTCATCATGTCAAGCTCATAACTGTGCCTGATCTACAACAGGGAACTGCTGCTTTTTCTTTCCTAATCCTATTGTCATTTTCCTCTACTTTTTTTGTATGTTTATCACATTCTTGTGACCTGCTATTTCCGGGGTGCGTTGATAGTCGAAGCAGACTTTGTGTTGTTGAAGCTAGAGAGGTGAGCAGAATAAGTCTGATTCCCTGTAAAGACTTCTCTGTTGACACTCACCCCTTTGCGGTCATATGACCTTATGCAGTTGCGAGCGCCGTAAGACCCTCTACTAAAACTAAACTAAAAGTATCGTAATATTTGTTAATTACTTATTGTTTCAGGGAGGGGGATAAGTTTTGCTTAATGGAGGAGTATTATTTCACTCTGGGTAAATAGAGAAAGGGAAGTGGGTGGATCTTTCTTCTTATTTGTGAGTTACTACACTTGTGCTTCTTGTTACGAGGGGAAGAGGAAATTGAAGACGTGTATACTGTTGTTTCAAATGCAGATAGAATCTAAATAAGGTTTTTTTGTTGTAACTTCTGCTGATGATCTGTAGAAGTTTGTGGTTGGTGGGCGCTCTGGTGTGGTTTGCTCCTTCTTCCTTATCAAAGATCTAGCTCCTTGTCTCTCCTTCATTTCATTACACCTTACTCTTTGTGCTTACACACATACACATGTGTACGCACACACACGCTCACATGCCCGCAGGCAGGCACGCACACATACAGAGGGAGAGTGAGAGAGAGAGAGAGAGAGAGAGAGAGAGAGAGAGATTTTTATTGATGTGAAAGGCCTTTGGCCCATACATCCACACACTATGACTCGGCAAATACATAATTTGGTGCAGGACGTCAATAATTTACATAAATTGGGGACAAAACTATCACAGGAAGGAAAAAATAGATGCACACAAACACACATATGCACACACACACAAGCACACACACACACACACACACACACCTACACGCATGTACAGACAGACAGACAGACAGACGGGCAGGGGGCTTTTGTGGTCTAGAGGTCAAGGTGTTCACCTCTCATTCAATAGGTTTTGGTTTTAATCCAGATAGCGACAGAAAATTTTCTTATTTAAAATGTTTTCCTTTCACGTCCTTTCCTGCTCTCTATCAATGTTCTGTCATCAACTTTCGTCTCCTCTTTCCGCCCTCACCCCATCACCTCCTTTGCCCCCTCCTCTGGGCTCCTGACTCTTTCTGCAGCTTTTCTACGGCTACTCCTTGTCTCTTTCTTACTGCTGTCTTTCAGCCACATCCCTTATCTACACTTAACCTTCTCGGATAAGGGCGAAAAGTCTCAGAGGTCCTGTGTGCAAGTTGCGCACCTTAAAGATCCCTTGGTGGTTCAAAATCGATAAGAGTAGGGTTCTTCCCCCCCCCCCGCGGGCAAAATTCAAAACTTTATAGTGTTGAACAAATGTGTCTTTAGATTTTTCCTAAACTCTTCTGCTGTGATAGGCTTGTCTTTTGGGAGGGAATTCCAAATTTTTGGGGCATAGGAAGAAAAAACTTTTCCACCCAGCTTTTCAGAACTTTACTGAGGGCATTTTCATCAGTTTCTCGTATGCAGATCTTAAAGTCTTGATGGTATATATGACTATTTTAGGTCATTAAGATATTGTGGTGCTTTGATTTACATGCACTCGTTGTTTAAAAGAGCATTTTTGTGATCAGTTCTTGCTTTAACCGGTAGCCAATGTAAAAATGTTAAATGTAAAACATACATGTATGTAAAAGTTGTGAAGTGTTCTGGGTTTTTTCCTCACTAAGAATAAGAATACACGTTCCGTAGAAACTGTTGCTTTACTGACATGAACAGCTAGTGAGAGGCTGTGGCTGATATTTAAAGGAACCCATACATCATTGTCTTGTTTTTGATGCAGCAGAGTTGTTATTATCCAGTAAAATACAACAGTTCGCTTTTTCACAATCTTGACTCTTGATGTTATTATTGACAATTGAGTAGATGTAAGACTTGTCAATCATTCATGACTTATCCCCAATTTTAAGCCTCAAATTGTTGTGCTAAAGCCAGGCAGGCAGCTCATTATTATTATTTACAATTATATATTCCTTAGGCTCCATGGGCCCACCCTCCATGGTGCCAATGCCAGGTCTTGGAGATTTGGGTCAGCCCCCGAGGAAACGGAAAAAAACTCCTAAGAGAGCCAAACTGTCTGCGTCCCCAGCACAGATTGCTCAGATCACAGAAGGAGAAGGTATATACCATAGATGTACACTATAGGCACTAGATACAGTACGCCCCTCTCTCGCCTTGCTGCACGATGGCCACATTTGACAGCGGCGTCCGCCATGTTTCAGTGGGCGAGATCTGTGAAGGAATTCAAGCTAAAGCAATGGGCTAGGCATGTTTACTAAAACCTCTCATAACACTCCATAATAGGACCCTAATGCCCAAAAACCTGCCATTATTGAGTGCAAATTATAACGTCTGCCGACTGGAAAAAAATTCATATAAAATCAACAAATTGTGCTACAAGGTTGCATTATATATCAAATTAAAGCTCTTTTCAGGCTCTGTACAGTGAGTTAGTTTATAGAAAGAAAAAAGCCTTCCAAACATTTCAGATATGGACAATAATGTGAAAAAAGTAATCAATATTGGTTCAGAAAATAAAGATTTCTGCTCAGGGGGTTTAAAAGTTGGAATTAAATCAACATACTGTTCTACCGTGGTTCATCTTGTAAAATATAGATCTAGTTCTAGATTTATTTATCATTTTAGCTGAGAAAGAAACCAGTGGCTGGGGAAATACAATGTATCATCGTGTGTCCAGTCAGTAAGTGGATGGAAGAAAGAGTGGGGGGGGGGGGGGGGGGGGGGCATTTCTCCAATTAGCCTATCAGGTGACATCTAACTAAGTCTAAGAATACATAAAAAGGCTGGTTGATTCAATAATTGAATATCCACCAATCAAGAACGTAGATCTAGCCTTTTTTGTTACCGAATTAAATGCCAAACAATAGATCTACGAACATTTCCATCGGTAACACTAACACCCGGTAACCCCCTTCCGAGTGTTTAGTAGTGTGTGATGACATGTTACTATAAATAGAACTCCCAGTTCAACTCTTCACGGCTTTATTCTTTCACTTTGTTTACCAGAGATGCTTAGATTTCGATGCATTTAGAATAAATAAGGCAAAAATACCACCACGAAGCGATACATTTGTATAGATCGCAATTAAATTACTATGAGGTGGGGAAAATGTAGGTCGGCGTGATTCCCACCAAACAATAACAATCCAACCACACGGCAAGTGGTGGCCGATTAATCTTATTTTTCAAAACACGATATTCATAAGTATCCTAAAAGAAAATTATTATAATACATAAATTGACGCCATAAACATCTATCGAATGTTTCTTTTACTGAACCATCATTATAATCGTCTGCTGGTTGGGTCGAGTCAGAGGGGGTGGAAATGGGCGATGGAACAGCCGCAATGGCAGAATGACGATCTCCCGAAAGTGGTTGTTACCCCACTTCAGAAAAAGTAATATTTCTGCTTCGTGGAACGTAGTTTGCTTTTCTAAACACATAAACTTGATGGTTGAGATGTCTATGAATATGATCCTGGCACAGATAGCCCGACTTGTGTCGAATTTCATATTTTAAAATGCTTTCTTCGTCTTTACATCGTACCACTCAAGCTTTCTGCTCGGAATAAAAACATAAACACATTCCCCGGAAATTCTCCTGAAATCCCAGATTTTTATGTTTCAAACCGCAAGAAAATTCGATGATTCACGACTGAGAAATCGAAATTTAAAACAAGTACCCCCCAAATCTAAGCGCGCAAAATTGCGAGACTGCCGAGTTTTCCCGTGTTAAACTTTAGTCAATTAAAAACTAAATATGCAATCATAAGTATCAGTTTCTCGTTCACCATGGAGAAGGAAAGACACAGAAAACAGTGGTATAATTTTTATTAGTGTTTACCAAAATTAAAACCAGCTAATAGTTGGATGAAGTCCAAATCTGGCTCCAGCTGTAGCTGTCTGCCTTGAAAACGGCTCGCCTGCGGTACCTACTATAATGGCCCAGAACCGTGCTGATAGCATCATCATCCCATAAAAATAATTATGATTGATGATACTGTTATATTACTATGTTTAATATATATATGTTAAGTCATTGAGTCATTGTCTAGTGAGTGAAATTTGTGCCTCAGATTAGTAGATCTAGCTTGGATTTTGTGATGTTTAAGTAAGACGAGGCAAAATTGCAGTTAACTGAAAGGTAGGCTTTGATCAGACCAGGCTCTTAATCTTTTCAATTACTTTCTTAAAAATATAGATCTGGATCTAATCTGTCAAAATTCTTATCAATCTTATTCTTACCAGTGAAATGAAAGGGGTTCCTTTCGAGGCTCTGTTAGTACACTGATAAGTTAAACTCAGCAGTGTTGCACCATCCTTTCTGGTCTCGTTTTATTGTAAAGAAAGTCTTTAAGGCTGTAGATCTTCTACTACTACTACTACTACTACTACTACTACTACTACTACTGCTACTACTGCTGCTGCTGCTGCGGCGGCTGATACTACTGCTGCTACTGCTACTACTACTACTACTACTGTTACTACTACTACTACTGCTACTGCTACTTCTACTACTACTACTACTACTACTACTACTACTATACCGAGTTGCAAAGGTTCTGTCACACCCATTATGTTACGATAATTTTCGTTATAGCGTAAGAATTGCAGAAAAATTTAAAAGTATGACTTGTGGGACTTCTGAGACTTCTTGTGCAAGAGCAAACCAAAAGAAATCCTAAACCGGAAGTAGTACATGGACAAAGTGTTGGTATTGATTTCTCTCGGTCTGTGTTGAAATCAACTCTTCCTACACACAAAATTTGCTTTGAATCACGTAAACACACCTTACACACTATAAAAGTCCATACTTTTTAACGTTTGGGTACCTTTTTCTCCTGTTTTCAACATTAAAAAAAAAGATAAATTCAGAAAATAAAGGAGCTGTGTGTATGATAATTTTTTAAATTGCGCTTTCTGTTGTTGCAAGACACTTAAATGTTTGCAGAGGAACCATCTAACGCTTGAATTAATGTTTTAACACCACTAGAACTGTCAAAGAAAAGCCGAGACGTAGGCAACCAAGGGCGACAACTCGACATCAGAATTGGAGTTATTGTCAACACCCATGTTGAAAACCCATTCCAACTTGGTGCACAGACTGCCAGGCACTTCAGACTGTCTTGAAACATCATTATTAGACATTTATAAGATCGTGGATTCCATGATTATCGCCATTTATATGGAGCCATTCTAACCCTGTTTCATAGAAGAAATCGATCGCCAAATTTTGGCACAACAACATTGTTGATGAAACAAAAGACGTTGGTAAAGTGTTCTTTTCAGCAATGGTTCAGGTTTTTAATTCGTCTCATTGATGGAAGAGAAAAAGTGTTTAAAAGAAGAGAAGAGAAATTTCACAGATCCAACGTCCCACAAGAGGTCCGAAGGTGGCTGAAATGTGATGGTAGGGGGTGGAATCTTGGCTTTTTGTCTTATACATTTAGTGACTTTTCAAACCAACCTCAAATAATGACTTATTGTGACGAAATTCTTCGTCACGGTGACTACGCTACATGGCACAGATGATGGAATCTGCTAACAAGACAACACCCGACCACAAATGGCTACGATCTATGAAAACTTCTTCCAAACAAATCAAATCATTGTTCTGGACTGGCCTGCAAGGTCCACAAACCATAACCCAACGGAATATCTGTGAGATGGCCTTGACTGGAGGATTAGAAACAGGCGCACTCCGTACGAACTGGTAAGGAACTGAAGGCTGCACTTCACAAGGAATGGCAGGGGATTCTTCAGACAACCATAAGGACTTCAATTCAGTCAATGAACAGATGTTTTGTATCAGTAGTTCAAGCTGGAACAGGCCACACGCCATACTGAGCAAACTTTGATTTGGATTTTGCAAGAGTCAGTGTGAGTAAAATTATCTCCCTTGAATAAGGAAAGACATTTGTCAATTCTTTTATCAGTTTTTAAGAAAATGGTAGCTGTTTGAAATTTGATCAAATTTGTTAAAGTCGCTCACTGGCTGCAATCTCATGTTTGACAAATAATGAAAGAGTACCAAGTGCACTAAACTTCTCCATATTAACAGAGTACAACCTTTATAACATAGAGGAGCCTAATTTTTTTTCAAGACAGTAAGATCAGTACAAATCAGTTTTATCACCTCAAACATGATGATCTGTCGTTATTTCGACAAAAATACCGAGCACAGTCCTGGCCGGCGCCCCACCGGCCCTCACAGCTAGCGAATCGGCTCTATACTGTAGTGTACCGAGTGCTCCCCTCGTGGGGAGTCGCATGCTTTCTGAGTTTCGCGGAAGGATTGATGAAAAATAATTCCAAGCCGTTTACTTTAATCTAATAGAAAATGAACTGATCTTCCTCGATGGCTTTTTTGATTCGGTATTTTACATATTTTGTGTAAAAAATGATCTTTGAAAACTTTGATGGTATTTTTTAAAGGCTTTTTATTTAAACGCCAAAGGCCAAAAATATACCACGGGAAAGCCTGTCCAAAGATCTACAGTTCTCCGCCAATGAAAAGACAGTATTTAATCATCAATCTTTCTGCGAAGCATTTGAATGCATGCGTGTCAATTTTTTAAACGGCCGACCACGCGTTCCAACAGCACAGGGCTTCGCTTTCCAAGGCGATTCTCCAACTCCTAATAATGGGACATATAAACAACTTACACCATTGGAATGAGGAAAAGCTGAACTTTTACAAGGTGTACAGTATTTGGTGTTGTATTGCGAAAGAGAAAAGAAACAGCGATCTGAATTTGCCTGATTTCACCGATACCACGCCCACGGAAGGTCGCGAGTGCCCACGAGGCCGTGTTTACGCTACTTTATCAAAGAAAAATGCAATACCTAAATGTGGCAGTCAAAGTTCTTCGCTTCATATAATAATAATAACTATAGATTGTGCAGTCAAACTTGCCTTAACAGTCACAGCTGCCAACTGTTCTAATGACGACTGTTCTATAACTCCTGGACTGTGTACATAGCGTATGCAGTCGAGGTTGTGTGTATGTGCATGTGTGCACATACACACACACACACAGAAACACGCACATACACATATGTATGCAGTTGAGGTGTTACAGAACAGTGGTCATTAGTTCAGTTGGTGGCTGTGACTGCTACGGCAAGTTTGACTGTACAATCTATTGTTATTATTATTTAACTTCCATATATTTATGTTTTGCATGTTTTCTTTGATGAGGCATTTGTTAGATAGTAATTGCACCAGTTACAGCCTAGGACTTGTGATGAAAATGTTTCCAGCTTTGATTAATTGGAAACTGAAATCGTTGACCGACTGTTATTTGCGGCCAAAATTTTGAATTTTTTTTTGTTATGTAGTTTTTTATTTGTGGCATGAACTGCATGTGCTAGAGAAATATTTAGTCGAAATTCAGATTCTACATTTTGATAAAAATTAAAGAAAGGTACCCGATGTAGGTACAGTTGTGAACAAAATTTAAAGTTTTTTCTCTCTCCACAAAATTTTGCTTACTGAGCTTAGAACAACTGAACAGCTTGTGGATGAAATGTCTTTACTTCTCTGGTTGTTACGCTAAATGGATTATGTTTACCTTCACATAGCTGCTGTAGGTGTTCAATAGTTTTATTCCAATTTCCTATACTGACTGTTTTTCCTCCCTATAGACATTCTGAAGAGTTCAATGTGCTCCCTATGCCAAGCAACCTTCGCAAGGTTCACTGATCTCTTGGCTCATCACAAAGAAGTCCACAACTCTGACACCAACCATCCACTGCGCTGCCGAGCTTGTGGGCGGACACAGACTTCTGAAGCTGGCCTCATTTATCACCAGGTGAAAATTTGTCCACTGTGTGTTTCAAAAGGACCTTTGCAAAACCACTACTGAAGCTTTCACATACTGAGCATACTAATTTTGATGGTGGTTCAGAAGTTAAAGGTCATATAACACTATGTAACAGGTGTCTAAAAAAAAAAGAAGACCCATTCAAAAGGCAATAGCTCAGTCATCTTGGAACCAATTTCAGTTTAATAAAATTTTGCAGAAATGAAATTCAACCGGGATACATTTGTCATCAAGCGCAAAACTTTCTAACTTCTTAAGAATTAGCCATATTGTTCTATTTCAAATAGTCAGTTTGTGCATTAAAGAACAATTAATACACAATTGGTCTTTCCAAATAAACTCGGGGAAGGTGGTGGGATTAAAATCTCCAGGTGTTGACCATTTCTCTCCATACAATTTCCAATATACCGGTGGGAATTTTGAACACCAGTGTTACATGTTTCTGGGTCGATTCTTTGGACCCCCTGTCCAACATTTGAGTTTCAACTGTTTGATTGTTTGATGTTTGTTTTTCTTGGACCCCCCCCCTCCCCCAAGGTAGTTACTGAATGGGTTCAAGTTGGGGGGAATATGATGACAGTTGATTTGTAAACTTTCGGTTTATTCGGTTTAAAATGTGTTCACCAAACCTTTCTTGCAACCTCAATGGGCCTGTCTTGATGTGTGCGATGTTGCCTCATCTTACTGGAACTATGCCTGTTCTGTAAACTTTCTTCATCCGAAACTTCTCCAAGTCTCTCAACGTAGTGCGATATCCATCTGAGATGAATGTTGTGGTTTTACCATCCTTGTCCTAAAACCAAAACAGGCCAATCACTCCCCTGTAGTTGAACTCTTTAACACTTTGTGGTCACTTGGCGCAATAATGTGACGATGAAATTGATCTGTTCCGGTCACCTGGTGCTGTCCTGCGCCAGGCCCGAGAAGTCCGTTGCAGTCACCCTCCTGGCTGGGTGACCAGATAGGGTATTTTGTACTGCTGGTTGTGTCACTGTGGAGTGTTAAAAGTAAAATTTTACATTGTACCCAATTTGGGTTGAAATATTAAAAACTTGATATATCTTGAACTTGGGGATTGATTTTCTTCATACCTTCAAACCTGCCTTAACGGGAACCTGTCTTAACGGAATCTCCCTGCTCCGCCTTCATAATATTCCTCTTTAATTACCTGTATAAAACGGAAACCTGTCCAACGCGGAAAAGGAAAGAAAAATCCCCTCCCTTCGGAGGGTTTTACCTGTCTAAGGCGAAAAATGCTTTGCTCGTTCAGTCCTGATTTGCAACAGAACTCGCAAGTTTGGTTCCGTTTGCTGACCCAATTTGAGGGTAGAAGTTACCCCTTCTATGTGAGCCTTGGGCAATGCAGATGGCCGGGGTGGTGTGGGTGTGAAATCTCACGAGTGTAGCATTAGCCTATGTGTTGGCTTTCTTACTGACAACCTGGCAACTCCTAGCTAAGGAAGAACAACGTCACTAGCGGTCGTGGAGTTGGATTGCGCATGAGAACTTAACGGACACTTCATGAACGACACGCCGTGTGGAGGTAAATACAACATACATGGTGGCAGGGATGGGATCCGAACCCAGCATCCAAAGATACTCAAGTAGACGGACATCTACATCCTTTCAAGTTAGACACAGGTGCTTCAATCACAGTCATGGGTGAAAAAGATGTCAATATAGCTCCAGGAGAACTCAAAAGACCAGATAAAATACTTCGCGCTGCAGGAGGAAAAGACCTGAAAGTGCTAGGTTTTGCCCGACAAACGTTGAGACACAAAGACAAGAGCTTAGTAGAGAGAATATACGTTGTTTAAGGACAACAGCACTCTCTCCTGAGCCGTAATACATGTATCAAGTTGGGGTTGGTGAAAAGAGTGCAAGAACTCGAAGAATCGAAGCCTGACTTGGGACGAGAATTTCCCAAACTCTTTTCGGGTCTTGGCAAGCTGAAAGAACCTTACACCATCAAGCTGTGTGAAGGTGTCGAACCATCACATATCTACACACTAAGGAAAATAGCCCATCCCCTCATGCCTAAGGTCAAGTTGCAACTAGATCAAATGCTGGATCAGGGCGTTATTTCAGAGGTAACAGAGCCTACCGACTGGTGCACTGGAATGGGGGTCGTTCCAAAACAAATTGGTTCAGTCCGTATATGCGTCAATTGAACAGCTCTCAACAAGGCCGTCAAGCGAGAAGTTTATCCGCTGAAGTCTGTAGATGAAGACCTTGCACAGTTTGCAGGCAACAAACTCTTCACAAAATTGGACGCAAGATCTGGTTTCTGGCAAATCCGGTTATCAGACGAATCTCGAATAAAGTACACAACATTTCTGACACCCTTTGGAAGATGCTGCATGAACAGGCTGCCCTTCGGCATTTTGTCGGCTTCTGAAATTTTTCAGCGCACCTTGACAGAAATTCTCAGCGAGCAAGACGGCGTTGTATGCCACTTTGATGATATCTTCATCCTCGCTCCAGACAAAGCCACTCATGACAAGCGAGTACGAAATGTGGTGAAATGTCTCCATGACGAAGGCCTCGCACTGAATGAAAAGTGCTTTTTTCCCAGTCTTCGTTGAAATTCCTCGGACACATTATTGACGCTTCAGGCATCCAAATAGACCCAGACAAGGTCAAAGCCATTGTGAATCTTCCACAACCTCAAAATGCCACAGAATTACAAAGATTTCTAGGAATGATCAATCAAATGATGAAGTTCGGCCTGCGTTAAGCATCAGTGACAAACCCTCAAGAAGAACAATGAATGGGAGCAGCCTCTGGTAAAGGCTTTCAAAACCATCCAAGAACAGCTTACAACAGCCCCTGTGCTAGCACATTACACTCTCTGAAACTGAAAACCACCATTGCAGCTGACGCATCGAAAGAAGGATTAGGAGCTGTTAAATTCAAGTCCAGACTGATGGTTCTAGAAAGCCTGTGTGTTACATATCCCGCACTTGGAATGATGCAGTAATCGAGAAAGATGCCGCTTCTGCTTTTAATAGGTCAAACAGTGGTCCTATGAAATGCAAGCACTGGTGGTAATAGGATTATATTTGGATAAGTAGGACTGACACATGTCATTATGCAAAGTGGCTATCAAGGCACAAGTCGATCACGCCCGACTCGTTGTTTCAAAACAGAATCGTTGTTTTCCGGCGACGAGTCGGACAACCTGACCCGGCTCTGGTCACTGGGTGGTGGCGGGCTCCCCGTCGTGCAAAGGAGCAAATTGTCCCCCTTGACATCGTTATTTCTAGTCGTGGAGGAAAGTTTCGGTGTTTTTAATTAAATTTTATTATTTTTCCAAATTTTGCGGGAAATTGGCTAAAATTAGCGAATTCACGAAAATGGTAAAAGTTGTGCACAAGTTGCGCTGATGGCAAAAGTTGCGAGCGCGAATTTCTCTGAGGACAGACTGGCTGGGCCTTTGAACCCTCCCCCCCACCCCCTCCATCTCCCCACTAAATTCCCCTGTCTAAGACGGAAAATATGTCTAAGACGGAATTTTTTTCTGGCTCCCTTGCGATTCCGTCTTACATAGGTTTGACTGTATTTATAAATTTGACATCTCTCTAGTTGAATTTTGTTTGAAGTTTGGTTGAAATTTATGTAGTGATGACCAAGTTATTGCCATTTAAGTCGGTCCTCTTTTGTTTTTAGACAGGTTGTATATGGAGTTTTAAGGATAGTGCAGTTGCTCAATACTTCCAATGTTCTTGAAAAGACCTTTTCTTGGCTTTTTTCATTTACTCTATAAGCTACAGAAACTGCAGACCGGGAAACTTTCTATCTGTTTGAAATGTTTTTATCTGTTTGAAATGTTTTTATCTTTCTTTTTATTGACAGTATGTTCTGGAAATCTTAGTTGACGTCCCTTGTTTTTAAAAATTGTAAAACCATTTTCAAAACTTTTTGTGTTGTTATTGATCCTTAGGTTTACGTGTGCAAAATGGTGGAAAGAACACACCAGTGCCACATCTGTGGCCTCAAGTTCCAAAGTGAGGGCATGGTCCTAGTCCACAAATGTAGCGGCTGTCCCAGGAAGAAGTATGCTTGCGAGTTTTGCGACCACTACCGCACTGAATCCTCCAGTGACCTTGAGAAGCATATGCGGATTCACACTAATGACAAATGTTACGTGTGCAAAATCTGTGGCTTCTCCACTGCCTGGAAGAAGAATCTGAAGGAGCATATGGTGAAGCATCTGGGGCTAAAGCCATATGTGTGCGACCTGTGTGGCTACAGCACATCGGACAGACACAACCTGCGCAGCCACAGGATGAAGCACTACCAGAAGGGAGAAGGCTGCGAAAAGTGCGGTGGGGAGTGCCACTGCAACAAAACAGTGTCCGGAAAGAAGAGGAAGATAAGTGTGGGCAGTGTGGGTGAGAGCAACACAAGTGGGGGTGGCAGTGGTGGTGGAGGGAGCAGCAGCCCGGGGGTAGCGACCACACCTGCGGGAGGGAAAGACTTGGAGTGCCCATACCCACAGTGTGTCTACCGCACCAAGCTGGAGTACATGATGGCTAACCACATGCTGCGCCATCAAGGTTCTGGAGATCAGAACAATGCTAGTGGGTCAGGGGGTGTTGTCAGTAGTTCCAGTGGGGGAGGGGGAAGTGGCGGAGGGGGCCATTTCTCTGGTGCTAACTCTCAGAGTTCCTCGCACGAAAACACGAAAACCTCTCAGCAGCACAGAGGTCAGGGTGTCATGGCCAGTGGGCAGTATACAGGGAGTGGTGGAGCAGGGACAGCTGCGTCTCCCGCGTCATCCATCTCCTCGTCCTCGTCAGTCCCACCAACCTCTTCCATATCGAACAACCAGAGCGGTCCCCCGACCCTGATCTCATCCCCTGGAAATCAGTTGCCTCTGGAGTGGAAAAACATTGGACAGCCCCACCCATCAGCGGTTTGCGGCATGCTGTCACCGCCAACTCACTTCCCTCCCTTGGTGCAGCATCAGCAAAGTCACCTGACATCACAGGCTGTGGCTTCGGGAGCCCTATCATCATGGGCAACCCCTCTTTCCCCACCCGCTGTCCCCCCGGGCCTGCTCAGCAACCGCGTGGCCGTGCCGATGTCTGCTCAGAACATGGTGGCCAGACCTATGCCTGTCTTTCCAAACATGCCCAACTAGCAGAGTTGTGTACCTGTGCAGGTCCCTTGTCGCATTTCTTCTGGTGCTCAGACTCTCCATTTTTTGTTTCATCTGTCTGTTTGAAAAGAGGGCTACGTCAAAAAAGTTCGTATGCCATGCTCTGAGAAGTTGGCACATCCACTGACTAGACCAGGGGTAAGCATACTTTTCGGATAGGGGAAATTTCGACTGGGCCATAAACAGCAAAGGACCACATCGTGTACTAATGAACATGTGTGCTAGGTAAATTTTAAAAGAAAATGTTTAATATAAACTATTACAATAATAATGAAAATGGAGCGTTTTACAAGTTCAGCAAACATATTTTTCTTTTAATTTCACAATGAAAACTAGTCTTGGCTGACAATTTATTTTATGATCATTTCAGAATAATGTCTATTTCACCAAATGTTTCTCAAACCACACAACACTATGCCACGTTTGGCCCTTGGTCTGTAGTTTGCCTACCCCTGGACTACATTTGTGCCATTGTGGTGTGGCAGGCTGAATTCTCAGTAGATCTCTATGCCGAGGGTAATCATTTGTAGTAAAGAATGGATTGAATGGTGAAAAGGAAGTAGAATAATGTGTTCTTAAAATTGCATGTTTGAAAGCAGTTCTCTGCATGTTTTTGTGTGCCTTGTATTGCTTTTCAAAGCTTTATAGTATAAACAATAAAAAGCTGTCTCCTGATTCATCAAGTAAATGAAACATATGCAGCCTCTCTATAACGACCTTCAATATAACAACATCCTCTGTATAGCAACATGGTGCCCAGGTCCCAATTTCATAGCTGCCACTTTCCCGCTAAATAACGGAAACTCCGCTTCATCTAGCTTTTCCCGCTACTTTCCTCCTTCCTCCGCTGGACCGCTCTCGGTCGCAAATTGCGATACTTTTTTTTTTACATGCGTAAAACACAGAACCGGGAGAGAGACGAAAACGCGGCCTGCGCATGTCCGCCCGTAGCTTTCTACTTCCGTTCTTCTAGGCCTAGCGCTAGTTTTACATTGTTTATTGTTGTGGAGCAACACAGTGTCGATCGGGCATCAGGACGTTGGCGCGCCGAGTTGTCATTGAAAACGGCGGAAATTCGAGAGAAATTGATGCAGAATGCAAAAATAAAAGGAGCTGGAATGAGAAAGAAGCAGCCAGTGTGGGACTTGAAAAGTTCATTATTCATTAGAAAGTTGAACAAGCCACTTGCTGCACTTTGCGTTTGGTGCAATAAAGAAATCGAGGCCCGCGCACTCCTGTTCAGTTGCCGTCCTGTTTGTTTACATGACAGCTATTGTGACTGTGGAAGTGAATCTAGATCTAGATAATCTATCTCTAGATATAATCTAGATTAACACATATTTAGATACCGTATCTAGATCCTAGATCTAGATTAGATAGCCTAGGTTATAATTTTAATTCAGTTACAGGGACACTAGTACTAGATCTAGGTTAAGTGCAAAAGGGACCGCAATTGTACAGGAGTGCCGAAATCGCTCAGTACAGTGGCAAAGGTGTTGCCTCCTTGATCCAATGCTGCTCTACATCGATGTACAATTTTAAAGTAAACGAAATCTTTTTATGAGACACCAGCTGGCAACAAACACTGGATTTGTAATCACCAAGTCCAAACTGTGTCAAATTGACTCAAATGTTTGTTAGTCAACTTAGTGCCTTTGTTTGTTTGTTTTTGGTTTTTTTCAAATACATTTTAATTCAGTTGCCTATGGTTAACAAATATGACAGTTTTCCCTTCCAAAACCATGGGCTAGATTTTCCAGTGTATTATTATATTGCCTCTGGATCTCACTGGCTTTACTCTGGCCTTCGGAGAGCGCGCGTCCGCCTTTGCGTGAATTTCCTCCTTTTTAAAAATTCCTGAGTGGCAGCAATGCAATTTTTTCCTAATACAGTAGTCTCCGCCTAAGATCCCACCGTTTATAGTTTCGGTTCGCCCAAGATTCCGCTGTTTTGGAAAAACAAATTTCATAATATAAAAAATCAAGTTCAAGCAGCCAACAGGTGGGTGCTGTGCACATGTGTACCTCTTGTGGCCATTTTATTGGCAGTATGGCAGGGAAAATTCACATTAGTTTAATAAGGATCGTACAATTCAGATCGTTGGTGGATGGCAGTGTTAAGGTGCGAATACTATATATTTAAATAGGTTTTCCAGGCAAAACCTGACTGTAAGCAGGGCTGGTGATATAATGATGGGCAGTATAATGAAGTTTGACTGCACTTTTCTTTCTACAAGTAAAGAAATATCAAGATGGTTACATATATTGGGGAGAAAGGAAGACAGTAGGAGAGAAGGACTGAAAGTGAACATTTTCCCATTTACTCCTCTCAGTAGTGACGCAAAGTAGTGTAGTGTGTACCTGTAAGTAAATATTAGGAAAATGACAATGCCTACTCACAAATGGTTATACTACTGTGAAATATCAGGAAAAGAATTGTACCTATTCACAGTACTATCCTTCAATATTAGGTCAAATGACTTTGCCTATTCACAGATAGCTATAATTCACTGCAAGATTGAATATATGATTTTCTCTGATAGAGGCTGAGAAAGTGAAAACAATGCTTGCTGTTTCGAACATTTAAAAAACAAATCATTTTCCTTGTATTCATATCTGCTTGCTTGTACTAGAACTGTATCTTCATTATCAAATCTTCTTTTTTTCTGAGCATTTTGATATATTATTTACATGAGTTTGTTGTACCATGAAATCTTTTTAAATATGAAAAAGCCATTGTTTACTAAATTTCAACTGAACTTACTGATACTGAGACAAAACAGGGAACAAGTTTTCGACATGTGCGAGTTGAGATGGGGGCTTCTGTCAGTGAAAATTGCACTCTTTAACCCTTTCATTGCCAAGGGGTATGTTAGGACTTATTTTCAGCTGAGCTTGTCACCCAGGACAGCAGCCTATTGTCTCAGTGTTAATGGACGTGCGGTCTAGATCTAGCACTCTCGTGACATATTTGGACTGTGGGCGGGTCTGCGATTGTGTCACTTTTCCTATTCCCCATTTCCTCCCATCTTGCTCATAATTTCAAGTAATCTTTAAATGTAAGTCAGAAAGTGAATTTTTTTGCCTTTTAAAAACCATTTCGATGTTTACATTTTACAAAAGCAATCGTAGATCTGTGTTTATCGATCGTTTGCAAGCCTAGCAGTAGAGTAATGTTAGCAAATTTGGTAACGATATGCGTGTCTTTTATTCCCAAATATGAATCTAAGCAGCACTTGTGGCTAAAACTCCGTACTAAAGAATTAGAGCCAGGTTATTATGTTTTCTCTAAGGCATCGAGAAATCAAGAATTGTAGACTGTCATACAATTTTGTGAAATACGCTATGTTTCTCTTTTCCATGTGTTGTACATCAGTATTTTTCTTAATGACCAGTTGCATTATGATGTGGGGTTGAGTTCTAAACTTTTTATGTTGGGATCCATGCGATATCTTGACGGTCATGTATGATTAGTACAATCTACGATAGTGTCCGCCTGACAGCACCTGCCTTGGTTGCTGATAGACAGAGGCTGCTGCGAACTGAATTTTCAAAGGGTGGCGATGATGTATTCTGTTCCCCCCCCCCCCCCCCCCCCCCCCTCTCTCTCTCTCTCTCTCTCTCTCTCACACACACATACATACACATACAAGTACCCAAAACAAGTTCTAAGTGCATAATTATTTCTGGATGCATGTATAATCTTCTTTTTTTGTTTAATTTCCACACAACACCTGATCAAGTGAAAAATACACCATGAGTACACCTTACTCATAATTTCGAACAACTTGCAAAATCTAAACCAAAAAGTTAATTTATTTGCCTTTTTGAAGTCATTTAAAAAAAAAAAAAAACGTTTTGCGAGAGCTCACGGCCGCGCGCAAGCCTAGACAATGTTTATTGATCGCTTGCAAGCGTAACAGTAAAGTAATATTAGCAAATTTGGTACCAAAAAAGATTTTTTTCGTTAGTTGACAAGACTCATTAGAACCACTCTTCCTTTCTCTTGCTTCGATGCAGAACAGGATACACTACTGGTATTGAGATGCATCATGGCAAATTTCCTTTAATGTAGTGATTTCATGTAAGGTACTAGAACTTGTATGAGTCTAGTCATGTGAGGGTTGGAGCTGGGGGGTGGTGTGTAAACAAAGACAGAGTGGCCTTGCATTGGGCTGTATGGTGTGTGAATTATGTCTGTGTTTGAGTGCATCTGTTTGTATTTGTGAGTGTGGTTATTCAAATGTGAAAGAATAGATCTGGAAGTGGAAGAGGGGTGGTTGGACCAGTGGGTGGTTGGCAGGTGCTCTTGTGTGGTTTGCGCCTTCTGTCCTATTGATCAATTAACTGTCATCCTTATCTTTCCTTCTTCTTTTATTTTTGTATATTACTATCTTTAATCTTTGGCATTTATATGGCCTTATTATGTTCCAAGTGCTAAAACTGATCAGCGTTGGTCACATTGTAGGTCCCGAAACTAAATTTTCAAAGTAGCTGTATGCCAAATGTATCTGTTCTATAGGAAAGGCCTATATCTCCTTAGAATTTTGGTGCCATTCTTTCACCTCTCAGTCAATTGAGAGACATGATCAAATATTTCTAAAGTTGCTAACTGGTTGCAACGCCATGTTGGACAGATACTAAAAGAGTGCCAAATGCACCAAACATCTCGATTCTCCACATTAACGGAGTACAATCACTTTAACATAGATATGGAGCCTAATTTTTTTTAAGTCTGTGAGATCATTACAAATCAGTATTGTCTCAAACACGATAATCTGTCGTTATTTCGACAAATACAAGTGCTGTCCCGGCTGGCGCCGCACCGGACCCCACTGCGAGTGAGTCGGCACTATACTGTAGTGTACTGAGTGCTCGCCGCATGGGGGGTCACATGCTTTCCGAGTTTTGCGGAAGGATTGATGCAAAATAATACCAAGCTGATTACTTTTATTCTAATAGATAATAAACTGATCATTCTATTAATACGTTTTTTGAGCCGGTATTTTACACATGTGTGAGGCGGCGTGGTGAAATCAGGCGCTCGTCAAAGTAATGCAATTGAAGAAATTGGCATTTTTCTAACAGTTTGGCAATTTTTTTTTACTCAACACCATTGTTGTCCAATTAAGAATTCATTTCTGGCTGGATTTTTACTGAAAAATGTTGATTAAAGACCCCAAAAATGTAAGTTCTCAGTTTCCATGGACTATGAAGCTATGGAAATAACCAGACTTTGGCGGCCATTTTCTCACTAATTTTGCCTTTGAAACCAGGCGACCCCACCTTCTTCAATCAAATATCGTGACTTCTTTTCAAGATAGATGGGCATTTTTTCACCGATAGCAAGACAACTGAACATGCTTTAAGATATACCAACAACTCCACATGCCCAAAAAATTGACGAACGCCTGACTCCACCACGTCTTGGCACATACTTTGTGTAAAAAAATGATCTTTGAACACTTTGAAGTTATTTCTAAAGGCTTTCTATTGTAACTCACCGCCATTCACCAAATTTAATAACTTGCCTTTCATGTTGGCAAACACTGGTGTATGCCATGGCCAAGGTCTGTGAATTGCTGAGTCGTGGGCCACGTTTCATTGTCGTGTCCGCTAAACTGGAACACTTTCCCTAGTACTTCCTTTAGGTCATTCCCAACATAACGTCAGGGCTGCCCATTATTATGAATTTGGTGGAATCTGCACGCACGAAAATACGATCTTAATACCCCTGATTCCAATTTAAAAAAATTTTGGGCTGTCT